ACAGAATCCGTTGTCATTCATGCTAAAAAGGCATTACAGACTGTCGACACTGTACAGAAAAATAGGAGATGTTGACCTTTTTATTATAGACTTTTCTCTACTGTTGCCCTTCTTTCAACTGCACATTGCTCCCCCCGCGCCCCCCGCCCCGCTCTGCACTCACACACACTCTTTTCAGCTGTATGTTATCTCAAATAATTACCCTCGCTTCTGGCTGTCCCTGGTGACTTCTGCTGCTAAAAAAGCTACTCATTGTCGGAGACTGAAGAGGGATTTCAAACCTGCTTCTCGTGGCCGGGCAACGGCTCTTAATTAACCACTCAGGTATTGCGGAAGCTCCCAGCCCAGCCCGCTTCCATATGGCTGGGACATGTCCACAGTGATAATCACGGGAGGAAATATTGTATCAAAAAAGAGCTCACACAACCGAAAGCTTGTGCAAATTATTTTTAATGATTCTTCTCTGGTGAGTCGGCTTATTTGTTATTTCAAGCTGAGAGAGGAATGTGTTTGTCCTTGACCCACATTCTCACAGCACGCGCCCTTGGTGCCCCCCACCCCAGATCTGATGCCGGACATTGTCATCAAGAGGGTACCCCAAGTAGTGAAGCCCCCCAGACGGCCTAGAAAGCTTTTCCCCCCTATGATTTCCATAAGCTTTTGTTTCTATTGGGCGCCTCGCTCTTCTCAAACACATGTACGTACACACACACCGAATTCACAGAATTTCCAACAAGCAAGTGATTTTAAATAACTCAAGGAGTAGCTGTTTGGTGGTACTTCCCATTTTCATGCCTCTTGTATTTCTTGCTTTAAATAACCCGGGGGGAGGGGGCGGCAGGGGGTGGAGGGCTGGCTGCTAGTGAAGGTGGTGAAGTTTATAAATCTAATTAAAAATGAAGTTGCATTTACATTTTAAAACCACCCATCCACCAGCGTACTGTGTCACTAGACATTATGTACGATTTTACTTTGCGACAGAAATCATTACATTTAAAAATTCATTACAGCAAGGTTAGTTAGACACATGATGGATGCAGCTTTAATCCTGCCATATATTATTACAGTTAAAATGTAAATGATGAAAAATATTTTGTGCTTATCAGCATTTATGTAGAAATGTGTTTTACAGTGATATATGGTGTTATATTTCTATTATTGTGATGAAAAGAAAGCAGTACAAAAAGATGAAGTGTTTATTAAAACATGGTTACTTGTGATAACATATTCCTGTTGTACATGACTTTAAACATACTCGCTGAGGGCATTTGTCCAAAACAACTGTGAAAATGTATTTGCTGTGTGAATCGGGCTAAGTTTTTTCTTCTGATTACAGGTCTTTTTAATAGACTAATATTAATTCAAGATCCTGTAGAACGCCGTGAAGTTGGCAGCTCTGTTTCCTTTCTGACGTGGCTAAAAATGCACGTGTGTGTGTGTGTGTGAGTGTGCGTGAGTGTATAGAGACACAGTCTATAGCTATAAAAAGAAGGCTTGCTTGTTTATTTTGTACAGTCATTCAGAGGAAAACGGGCCGCCCAATTGAGTGATGTTTCCAAAGTGATGTCATCAAGGGCACAATAAAATCTTATTAGAGTTGTAATTAACCTAATGGAAAAGTAATATCAAATGTCACTTTCCAATCAGGTAAGCAGAAAAAAAAAACGAAAAGGCCACATTGGCTCCATTTGTGGTTCCATCAGGGCACAGGCATATTTCTGTTGGGACCATGGAAGCTCCGATGAGGCTGGAGAATGCAGACCTCAAATGCGGTGCCGGACGGGAAAGTCGCCTCTGAACTCGCCCTTTGCCAAGTTCGCTCACAATGTGGTTCCTGCCTCCTGCTCCCCTCCTCTTTTTTCAGCAGCTCCAGAACAATGGTACATCCAACTACAAAATGAAATAGAACACAAAAAGAAAATAAACCCTCATCAGCAACCAAAAAAAGAGAAAATTTATGACTACACACTATTTAAAGAAAAGGAACAAATGACAATGACGAAAAGCCTTCCTACAGACATTCTCTGCTGTATCTTTCATCATTTAGGACAAAGTACTTAATATGTCACCCAAGTGTCCTAGCGTCCTTTCCCCCAGAACCAGAGTTAGAATATTACAATAAGATTACCCAGGTACTGAGGAATCATATCCATTAAAGGTCCAGGGTACCAGATTCGGTATATAAATTGGAACTCTTCCTCCCATCTCCGGCTGATGACGGATCTTGTAATAGACCTGGAAGTGACCAGACTTGGAAATCAGTCCCACCTTCCGTTTCTTTCATTCAGTGTCCCAAGTGTCCCCGGGGTGAGGGTGACATGGATTTAATACAAATTTCCATCAGGGCCCCTCTTTTTCTTCTTCTTCTAGCATCTGCTTGTAGGAGGATGTCGTTGTGTACATTAGCACTGTAAAGTTTCGCACCCTTCGGGCTGCCTTTGGCACAGGAAGCGAGGACCGGGTGAGCCAAGGATAATAAGGCCTCAGTATTTCCGATCCCAGCCTCTCTCCCGCTCTGCTCCTCAGCTGCCCGCGGTTGTTATCTTTAGGAAGTCCAAGGAGGGGAGAGGGAACGCTTCTCTGGCTCCCATCCTCGTTATAGACGTGAGGCTCCTCCCCGTACACCTTGGGGACATTGTCACAGAGGGGTCACATCCGCTCAGATTCCATAGTGACTGAACCAGCCCGTGACCTACACTGTCCTCCACCTCCTTTTGTCTGCGGCATAACACCCGACTCAGCCGATTTTCTTCAAAGCACAGGTTGTAGGATTTGTAAGAATGTTCTCCCACTCCATTAGGAAGGGGAAAGCCCGCACCCTCTCCAAGGCATGGTCTCTCTCTTCCTTTTTCTTTTTTTCTTTTAAATTTTGGTCTTTTATTTTAAAGAAACTCACACTCACACACACGTGCATGCATGTGCACACATATACGCACACTTTCTCAAGGAAACAGGGAGTCTCAAAACAACTTGCCCAAAGCACACCCCTTCAGTCCATTTTCCCGCCTCAAGAATTTCCCCAGGCCAAGATCCCAGAAGCTGCGGACTGACCTGAGGTTGCCCTGTTAAATGTATTTATTTCTTGGAGCTGAAGAATATTCGCTGAAAGCTGGATTATCACATAGTGGGCCACCAGCAGCTGTTGAAAACCAGGGCATAAACGCTTGTTTGTGTCTTTAATGGCTCACTTAATGATGGAGCAAGTATGTTATTCATAATAAAATGCCGAGGAATAATCTTAATACCCCAATGCATGGCGCTAGAGAATTAAGAAACATCTGCTGTGTCATAAAAGAACATTTTATTTGGGGTCTACATTAAAAACATGATTCCACGGAGTTCTGCTGATTTATATTGTACACAACAAATTATGATGTCTTGAAGTAATTATACTTTACAATTAAATCTACAAGGGCCATGCTTAGAAGAAAAAAAAATCCTGCCCAGTCTTCATCCTTCTAGATCATTTAAGCACATACTGTGGGCTTTCCTCAATATATTTCACCAAAGCACTGTTTAAAATCTCTCTTGGCGTCTGTGCCTCTCTCAGAAGATAACCAAGCTGAACGGTGCTCCTGAAATTACCATTGCAGAATAAAATGGCTATTTGGATTCAAGGGGAAAAGTGTAAAAATAAGTCTTTTCTGCCTGTCTCTTATCTGACTCTAACGCTGTTGTTTATTTTAACACTACTTGAGAGAGAAATATTCAGAACCTGGGACTGGTTAGGGATGAAGAGGATGACTCCAGCCTCACCAGCTTAGTGTGTGTGTGTGTGTGTGTGTGGTGGGGGCAGGGAGGTATGCCCCCAGAGGGAGGCTGGGATAGAGTGGCCCTAGAGATGTCCCTGAAAAGGGGAAGGTGCTGAAGGGACAGGGTGTGGCCAGCCCAATCCCAGCCATCACCCCCGCTACTCCAGATGGCGTCTGTCTCCAACACACCCGCTATCACACCAGGAAGCCATGTGTCACCACCTCCATGCCCAACACCACTCATGAGTCCAGGGACATGTCTATTGCTTCCTGGAGCTGGGTTCTCAGAAAGGCACATGAAGCAAGAGGAAAGATGAGTTATTTTAAAAGCTGGCTGCAGGGCAAGCTGGTTGTCCAAGGGCAGTGGCTCTTGACCCAGGCTGCTCTGGGGAAAGACTTGGGTGATGGAAAGAATACCTGTGCCAGACTCTACCCCAGGGATTCTGGTTTCATTAGTCTGAAGTGCTCTTCCCCTCACACACACACACACACACACACATTAGTAATTTTTTAAAAGCTCCCTAGATGATTCTCAGGGTCAAAAACTACTGCTTTAAAGAGATTAGATTTTTTTTAAAAGATGGGTAGCACTTTCGTCCTGAAATACCTCCATGAGCTTTTTTGGTTTCAGAAAGTAAGCCTGCCTGTTGTTGGTGGGGGTGTGAAAGGTTAAACGGTCCTATCACTTTGGAAAACTGTGTAGCGGTTCCTTAAGAATTAAACGTAGAATTACCATATGATCCAGTAGTTCTGCTTCTGGGTATGTACCCCAAACAACTGAAAACAGGGTCCCGAGAAGGCATTTATACACCCACGTTCATAGCAACGTTATTCATGATGGCCCAAAGTTGAAAGCAGCCCAGTGCCTATGGATGAGCAGATAAACAAAACGTGGGATACACAAACAATGGAATATTATTCAGCCTTAGAAAGGAAGGAAATGCTGCCACATGCTGCGGCATGGATGAAACTGGAGGACACTATGTGAGTGAAAAAAGCCAGTCACGGAAGGACAAATACTGTGTGATAGCACGTAGATGAGGCAACTAGAGCAGCGAAATTCATAGAGACAGAAAGTAGAACGATGGTTTCCAGGGCCTGAGGGGGAGGGGGAAGGGAGAGTCAGTGTTTAATGGGGACAGAGTTTCCTTTTGGGGAGATGGAAAAGTTACAGAGATGAGTGGTGTGGTGGTTGCACAACAATGCGAATGTACTTATTGTCACTGAACTGTAGACCTAAAAAGTGGCTAAGACGGTAAATTTGGTTATGTTTATTTTACCACAGTTCTTAAAAATTTTAACGGTGAGGCTGCCTGGGCTGCTCTAGAGAGAATCAACGATGCTGCATAGTGAAGGAACGCAAGCGACGCAAACTGTGTCTCTGCAAAGGCCAGTCAGTGAGTCTTTGAGCCTTCATCAAACAGCCAGTCTCCACTGCAGATTCGGAGCCCACCACAGAGGCGCCAAGGCAGCTGAGGACAACACGGAAAGGAATAAGCAGAGCTGGATTCCAATAAGACTTTAGTGATGGACACCAAAATCTGAGTCTCACAGCATTTTCACAAGTCACAAAATACTATTCTTTTGTGATTTTTCAGTCATTTAAAAACTGTCCTTGGCTTGGCAGGCCATACAGAAATAGGCCACAGGCTAGAATTGCCCACAGGCCATCATTTGCTGACCACTGGCCTAGAGTTGACTCCTATAGTGGAGTCTTTCCATCCAGGTCACCCAAGCCAAGTCCCAGGGCCACTGAGACCTGCTCTCCGAGGGTTAACTGTAACACAGTGTGCACATGCCCAGGCTGGGTGTGGGGAGTGTGGACAGAGACCAGATGCGTGGGTCCACACATGTGAGCAAGAGGCCCCTCCCAGGGAGCAAGCTGCAGGACTAACTCTGAGGAGCCGAGAATTCTAAATTCCAAGCGGGCCTTCAGATGGTTGCAAAGTTCCATTTGTCAAGGTAGATGGATAGAATGTTTTCAATATTTTTTTATTTAAAACTTTTAAATGCTTAGACTTCTGGTAAGTGGGCCTCCATTGGTGTCCCAGAACGTCCAAATGTTAAGAGTGGGCCTGCCTCCTGCTATTCTGAAACGTGCAGTAGGGTTTGCTTCTCCCGGCGGATGGGGTGATGGCACTTTGGAGGGTGAGGGGAACAGTGCTGAGCCGGGAGAAGGACGCAACAGCAGATGGCCGAGAGAGGCTCCAGCGAGGCACGTGACTTCAGAGTGAGAGAAACAGGGCGCCATCGTCAGGAGTCCTCAGACCTCTCGGTGAGAGCCCGGCCTTTTCTCAGTAGTGGATGCTCAAGCCTTTTTATCTGGATACTGAAGAAAAGGGACTGTGAAGGATTGGGGCACCCCAAGGGCCACAGGGGGATTCTCCATTCTCAGCATGCCCCATCTGAGTCTCCCCTGTCTGTAGCGCACCAGGCAGCCAGTCTGGTGTAGACACAATCAGAGGCTTCACTCCCCTGCCCCCAGCACCATCACGGACCTCTCCCTGGGCCAGTTCCATCGTTTTCTGCCTAGCTCATCTTTTAATTCTTTAAGTGCAATTAAAGCTTCTGTCCAACCACCTGCCGTTGCCCAGATGGAAGCTGGCAACCAAGAGGGAAGAGGCTTCAGTAAAATTGCTCCAGAGACAGGTCGCGGCTGCACAGCGTGAGGTAATGTAGGGACCAGACGCACCCTTTCCCGATTTCGGGGCAATAAAAGCCCCTCCCAGAACCTGGTTCCAGTTCTCACACTGTTTCTCCTACCCGCCAGGAAATGGACAGGAGGGAAAATTTCATGACAAATAAAATGGTGATGAATTCATGAAAACATTTTTATAATATATACGTATTTGGTGAGTCCTTGCACCATCTGAGCATTAATCTGCCGGGAAGCATTTCCTAGAGGGATGGGTTCTCTAAGGCAGGAGTGGAAACATCCCAGCGGCCCCCTTGGTCATCCTGCCACCAGGGCCAGAATGGGGCCATGATGGGATGGGGCCAAGCAGGCCACTGGATGGGTGACCTTCATACATGCTCATGGAGGAGCATCCACATTCCATCTAAATATTCTGCAGGCATCTGATGGGTTTAATAAAAAACAAAAGGAATCAAGCAGACAGACAAACCTTCCCTGACACTCACGTCCTAGGGAACCCAAAATATACCTCTAACCTGCCCTCGAGGCTGCTGCAACCTGGTACCCACCCTGCATTTCCAGCCTCATCCCACAGGACATCACCACACTCTCTCCTCCAGCTAGACTCATTCACTCCCAGTTTCCCAAGCCAGCCTGGTGTTTTCCAGGCTCCATCCTTTTGTTTACACTGTTCCAAAGACTTAGAATTCTTCTTATTTTCAACTTCACCTTTCAGACCATTTAGGACCCAGCTCAAACACTTGCTTCTCCATCAAGCTAGGATTTTCTCTTCTTCCTTTGTTCGAAGCTCAGATTCAGCACTTTACCGTCTGCCTCGGGTCTTGAAGCTCAGCCAGACAGTCATTCTCCCTGTATGACCTTGGGGACTTGCATGACCTCTTGGAATCTTAGTTTCCTCTTCTGTGAAATAGGAATGTTAATAGACGTGCTAACATCACATGGCTGGTTGTCTGAGGATGCAGTGAGAGGATGCAGCATGCCTGGCTCAGTCAGTGGCCACCATCGTTAGGAGAGTCATATGGGTACCCAGCAGGAATCCTTTGAGACCACAGGTAACTTCCGGGTCAGGACTGAGCCCCTAAAGCACCGTGAGGGTGAGTCACACTGACGGACCCTTAATGACCAGTTCCTCCCTTGAATGCCACCTTACCTTCTTGAATGAGGCTTCCCAGATTATAAAGCACCGGCCTCCCGCTTAAATGACTCCTCTTGCTCCCCAAGAAAGGGCTCTGCCCTGCTGCCTTCCTGTCTGTCCCTCTCCTGTCTTCTCACTCCTGCACTCCAGGTCAGCGTTCCCCAAATCCAGTTATTCTCACACCTCTGCTACGGCTTTTGACAGGCCCCAGTGCATTAGTCGGGTTTAAATTTGTCTGTATTCAACAGCCCCAAAGTAACAATGGTTTTTAAAAAAATACAACGAATGTCTACAGCATTTCCAGGAGTCTGGAAGTCATCAATCCAGGGCATGGCACAGTAATAAAAACCCAGGCCCCCTCTACGTTGTTCCTCTGCCCTGTGTAGCCCATTCCAAAACCATCATGGCTCCTGGAGCTCCAGCAGGAAGTAGGAGGTACCAAAAACAGGGCCACTTCCTTTAAGGACACATCTCAGAAATTGGATATATTACTTCTGCTTGCAATCGGTTGGCCAGAATTTAGTCACATGGCCATATTTAGCTGCAAGGGACTTTATTCTAGGTGGACAAATGTCCAGTGAAAAACTGGGGCTCTCTTTCAGGAGAAGAAAGAGATAGGGATGGTTGAGGACAATGAGAAGTTTCTACACTATTTTGAAATACCTATGCTGTTATTTCTCTTACTTTAAGCATAGTATAAGTTTATCAAAGTAATATAGGCATGTAATTGAAATAGTCAAATAATGGTAAAAGGTCTATAATGAAAACATTTTTTGCTATTTACCCCATTCCACCTCTCCAGAAGCATCACTTTTAATTCTTTTAGGGGTTTCTTCAGGTGTTAACCTCCACATTTCTAACAGATAATATGATGATACTGCTATCTCTTGATTCATTAATTTTAGGCTTTTTATACTGCCTTTCTATTTTGGTAAATAAGGATTTGGCTTTCTTTCTCTCAAACACACACATGCCCCTGCCCTGCCCTCTCTCCCTCACATCTTCTCAACAGGATCATATAAAATTTCCCAGGTAAAGCAGTATCCCATGTTTTCATTATTATTACTGTTATTATTTTGTGTGTGTCTGTGTGAGGAAGAGTGTCGCTGAGCTAACATCTGTGCCAATCTTTGTCTATTTTTTGTATGTGGGCCACTGCCACAGCGTGGCTCAATGAGTGGTATATAGGTCTGCACCAGGATCCGAACCGTCAAACCCCAAGCCACTTAAGCAGAGTGTGCGAATCCAACCACTAAGCCACAGGACTGACCCCCAATGTCTTCATTATTTTGACAATACCAATATCCTTCACTGCTAAGTCTAGCGGAGTGTCATAATTACGCTTCTCTTTTGGAAAATGTATCTTTTCTTAGAACGTCTGTTTCACTCTTTCATTTTCTTAGTTTTTTAAAAAATTTCTATTTAAATTTCTTCCCATTTCCTCCAATAGCTTCTTAATAGAATCATCCATGTGTGAATATATCAGATCATCTATTGGTTTAATTTTTTTCTCCTAGAGACCCTCCTCCTGGACCCCTCTGTCCTCCTGCTCCCCTCTGGACCACTTGCCCTTTAGGACTGATGTACGGCTGTTAATATTACCTTATCCTGGAATTCTCTTTGCTTTTTTCAAGTGTTAGATTTGTTTCCTGGATCCAGAATTTCCTTCTTTGATGAAGCACACCCTCTAATCACTTCCTGGGGAAGGGTCCCTGGGAGGTAAGTGTTCTGTCTGTGAGACGTCTTGATTCTACCCCAACACTTGATATTTTGGCTGGATATAAAATTCTAGGTTGTAAATGCATCATCATTCAGTGTGTTAAAGACTGTAGCTTCTCTCTCCCAGTGTTAACAATCCAATTCTGTCATTCCTCCCAGTCCTTTCTGTGTCACATGATGTCTTGTTTTCTCTCAAAAAGTTTTTGGGTCCTCTGTCTTTGGTGTTCTGGAATACCATGCTGACAAGCCTTAGGGGAGCCTCTTAAAATTCACTGTGCTCAACTCTGAGTGGGTCTTCTCAACCCACATGAGAAAACTCTTGTCCTTCAGTTCCGGAATTCGTCCTTATGTTATTTCCGGATAAATTTCATTCCTCCATTTTATGTTTTCCCTATTCTTTCTTTCTAGAAGGTTGGCTAGTCAGATATCAGACTTCACAGCCAGATCTTATAACTTTTAAAATATTTTCTTTCTATCTTTTAGTCTTTTTGTTTATTTACTGAGGTAATTTCTTCAACCATACCTCTAATCCTTAAATTTCATTTATTATTTCTTCAACCCTACTTTGAGTTCATAGAGTTCTTTCTTGTTTGTTCTTTGATTGAAACTTAAAAGCAATAGTAACCTGTTCTTGCTCCATGCATGCAAGACATTTTCATCTCTCTGTGAATATTAATTATAATATTGTGGCATTTTCTCTTATTCCTTGCATTATCTCTATTTCAAAATTTCTTCACTTCTGATTTCTTGTTTGGTCTCTGTCTTTCTTAGTGGAGGTTTTCTTTTAAAATCGGTGAATCCTTTGCAGCCAGTTTATACTTAGGAATGCAACACCCTCAAAATAATTGACTGGAGGTTCCATTTACCTGAGAGACCTTGTTGACTGATGGGTAATCAGATGGAAAAACAGCTTTTTAGTGTGTTCCTTAGTATTTTCTCTGATTCCAGGTTCTCCAGAAAGGGATTGTCCACCTCTTCACCTCCAACTTATGGGTTATCAGCCCAATGGTGCATTCTGGGAGCTAGGCAAAGAAAGTGCATGGCAGGTGGGAGCCCACTGTTCGGGCACAAAGGCTTTCACTTAATCCACATATTTTTACTGCAGCACCTCATCTTCATTCTAACTCGGTTCTCTCTTCTCCATCAACCTCTCTATCTGCTTTCCATTTTAACATATTATGGTTAGGCATCACAGATGGCTTCTAGCTTCAGTAGAGGTGGAGACTACTTGGTTTCTCATTCCGCTCGATATTTGGAAGTGATTCTTAAAAAGAGAAGGGAGAAGAAAAACACTCTGTCATCCTAATTCTGGAAAGTCCTATGATATTGTTTAATTTGTCTTTAAATTGTTTAATATTTGTCTTTAAATTTGATTCATTCTTTTCACTTAACTAGGTTCCTTCAAAAAGGGAATTGTATACCACTACTGCAAAATGGTAAACTGGAAAGAAACTATGAAAATAAAGAGAGAACAAATGAAATAACACTATCAATTCTAGCCAGCTATTATTGCTTGCTCAAGATTCGGGGCTTGAGGTCTGCTCTCTCTTTGTTAAAAAGACAGGCTAGCAAGTATTCTAAAGATGTTACTAACAGAAAGACATGCCAATTAGAAAGACATATTAATACCAAATGGTAACCAAACAGACCAGAAAAATACTCTGAAATGGGAATAACTGACCCAACCTGTAATTCAAGGTTGTCCCTTGAACATCACCTCCCTGTACCCCTTACCACCTCCCAGCGGATCTTTGCATAACTGGCTTCTTGTCGTTGTTCAGGTTTCAGCTCAAACTTCTTCTCGGAGTCTTCCCTGACCACTCCCACTAACGTAAACGCTGGTCTTATCTCACTACTCTGCTTTATTTAATTCATTAGCACTTACTTCATTTCAAATGACTCTGTTTACTTGTTCATATTCCATCCCTTCCACACCCTTGCTGGAATGTAAGTTTCACAAGAGCAGAGACTCTGTCTGTTCCATTCACCCAATATATCCATTCCTAAAATAAAGATTGACACATAGTAGATGCTCAATAAACATCAGTGAATGAACGAATGCATGAATGAAAAGAATAAGAATTAATTTGCTATCAGTTTCAGCCTCTTGCATATTCCCAGCCGCCAGCAGTCTTATTCTCTCTTTCTCTGCTTCTCTCTTCTCTTCTCTCAGTCTTCCCCTCTGTCCTCAGGTTTCAACCGCTAGGCTCACTCCCACGTGATGGGAAGAAAAGGAATTCTTAAATGGTGGCTGAAATCCAGCTGAATGTACTGACAGCCCTCACACCACAGCGCAACATCCCTCCTGAGGGCGGGCATCTCACAATGGCAGATGCTGGTCAATTAGGCAGAAATACTTTCATCTTAAAAAAGAGAGAAAAAAGGGATTTAAAGACCCAAAGGTATTTTTGGCTGACATAAGGTGTAATTAATTTCTTCACGAGACAAAATGGACAGAAAATGAACGCCATTAAGACCTGAGCTTTTATGCTGCCAAACCAACAAATTGATTCAGGGAAAACAGCAAACTGTGTCAGCTTTATTTTTCCCTCAGTTTTCATTTTATTTAAATGGTATTAACAGTGAAAAGTAGACAGAGAGTTTACATAAAATCTTTGATTTCCATTAGTCTTATAAAATGGGACGATCTAGCTGCATTGGGCCAGCATTCCCAGATGCAATCATCATGGGAGCTGCGTAGCATCCACCCCTTTGGGTGGGGCCTGGATCTCCAGTTAGTCGCCATCTTCACTGGCCTGCATCGTGCATCGTGCTGGCCCTCACAAGCACTTGAGTTTGTGAGCCCTGAAGATGGAACCACTTAAGTTCCATCTCATTCCATCTCCTAGGTCTTACTCCTCTCTGCATCACCTACAAAACTGAGCTGAGTACCAGGCACACAGCAGGTGCTCAATAAATAACTACAAAATAGTTGGATAAAGTTCCTTGTATTTTCCCACTTTGTAACTAATCTATTGCCTTTTATACATTGGGACCTTTAGGAAAATTTCAAGTTTCTCAGCATAAGGGGTTCTCCTTAATCAATAAGACATTTCCCTAAACTTGTTTACAGACAACATCTTCTTCAAGAAATGAAATAGTCATTATTAAAAAAGAAATTTAAACAATTACTCTATTTCCATCACCAGACTGGCCAACGCTTCACTGCATAGGATGGCATTTCCACAGCAGAAAGAACTTCCTTTCCTCCATGATGAACAAACATGCGATCTTCTTTAAAATAAGGTACGTGTCTGTGCTCACCCGTAAACCAAATCCCCAGATCACGCTGCGCCTGGATCAGAGGCTCTCCCAGGTAATGAAGAGAGAGGCCCAACAATGGCGTTTCCGCGGTGACCGCAGGTGGCTCTGGGTTCTGTGTGTGCTCTCTCCACACTGGCCAACGCCTCTCTGAATGAGCGAGTAAAGGTCGTCCGGACTTGAAGAGGTGGGTGAGGCGGAAGGCCAGCGGGCGACTGCAGGACTTTTTGAACAGTAGCCCGTGAGAAAGCAAGCACCGTGAGAAAGCAAGCACCGTCTTTCTCCAGTAGAATGTGTTCCAGTGATTGAGATAGTGTGCAAATTTATTTCAGGTAAGAACACTGACTTGGCAAACAGCAGGGAGGGTCAGAGTTCTGTCTTTAGCTAAGCGCCTCCTTATGGAGGTGAATTTGCTGACTGTTTGCCTGAATATTGAGCTGGCATCAGGGGCCGGGGGCTTGCGTCTACCTTGCGATTGTAGTATGTGGAATAAGGCATAACAATTAAACCAGTGATAGCCGAGAAAGTTTTCTGCGTGATTGACTCTTTTATATATAAATGAGTCAGTTCAAAGTAATTCAGCAACGGTCTCCCTCACTCATTTGCCTTTTTGAGTGGGAGGGAAAAGGATGTGGTTATGATATACCAGGAATTGCACATAACCCAAAGCCCAAGTTATCTATGCCAAAAAATGTACTGAGTAATCGTTCCCAATGTACTATTATTAGTCTTGATCTGTTCCAGTACTATGAGATTCACTTCTCTGCCAAATTTTTTAAGGTTAGTCAAAACCCAGGTTCAGCCATGAGAGCATGACATGCACGTATATCTTACCAGAAAGCAAAACGTTTAAAACCACTGTTCTGTTTCATGGTGGCACAGTATTTGCCAGTTATCATTTTTGACATTATCCATTTTGTTATGTCCCTAGGTAAGAATCCATGCCATAAATTCCTCCAAGAGTTTAGGGCCAGGAAAAACGTTTCTCTCCTGATCTGGCTCTTTTTGATCAGATCAGGAGATACACTACAAGTTCATCTTCTTGGCTTTTTTACTTTGTCTGCCAGTAAGCTTGGAGTTTCCAATATAATATCACCTTATAGTTGACTGTACGGAATGGACTCTAAATCATGAGCCCAAACATCTGGCTTCTAGCCCTGGTTCTATCACTTACAAGTTGCATGTGCCTTGAAAAATTTACTTAACCTATCTGAGCCTCAGTTTCCCTATCTGTCAAATGATTGTAATAACATGTCCCAACACAGGGTTTGACAGACATTCTAGGCTGCTCCTTCACTTTTTGTCCTGATAGCAGAAGGCTGTTTGGGTTCCCAATGGCAATGTGCTTAGGGAACGTGGACCCAACTCTAGTGAATGAGTCATCATTGGTCAAAGCCAAATATGATAATCCCATTCTCCGTTGCCTGTGATTGCTTTAGAGATGAATGTGTGACCCAGTTACGGTAAATGAGTTATAATGAGAAGTCTGCAGAGAAGCCCGGGAAAAGACTTCCTCCGTGAGATGTGAGTAAGGAGAAAATCAACCTCGTCCCATGCCCCCAAGCCTTCCTTCTTTTGGATAAGATTTTTAAGAAAGGGGATGTGAAAGCTGGAGCTGGGGCAGCCATCTTGGAGCCATAAGGGAAAGCCAAAAGATTTACAGGGAAAGCAAGCCTGAAATCAAGGAACTGCTAAACACCCACCCCTGGAAACCTCTGGGCTTCTTGCTATGCAGGACAACAAATGTCCTAAACTTTCAGGGCCAGCCCGGTGGTGTAGTGGTTAAATTCATGTGCTCCACTTTAGCAGCCCAGGGTTTGCCAGTTGGGATCCTGGGTGTGGACCTATGCACCACTCATCAGGCCATGCTTAGGCAGCATCCCACATACGAAATAGAGGAAGACTGGCACAGCTGTTAGGTCAGTGACAATCTTCCTCAAGCAAAAAGAGGAAGATTGGCAACAGATGTTAGCTCAGGGCCAATCTTCCTCACCAAAACCAAAAAAGTCCTAAACTTTTAAGCCATTAATAGTTGAGCAATCCACTTCTTGCTGTCAAAAGTATCTTAACTGTTAGATACTCTGGATAACTGTACATCAAAACACTTTGAAAAACTATAAAACACTATGCTAATTATTATGTTTATTCCCAGTCCATCTATTTCTCCTTTTGTTTCAAAGCTTCTTGACCCCTAACTTTTTATCTCTATTTTTCCTACACAGTTTTAAGTGATTTTATGAAGATGAGCTCTAGCAGTTATTATAATTGCTGTTGTGTTGCTGTTGGTGTTATATAGCATAGCTACTATGCATTGACTATTTACTATGAGCTTAGTATCGTGCTAACTGCTTTATGTACACTGTCTCATTCAATCAACACAAGAACCGTATGAGGGAGACATTATAATTATCTCCACTTGTAGATGAGTAAACTGAAACTCAGAGAGGTGCAGGAACTTGCCCAAGGTCACACAACCAGCAAGCAGCAAAGCTCCAGTCTGAATGGCATTAGCATTGTACACTCAACTGAATTCCCAAATACTACTCACTTGGGAAGTGTAAATGACCGATCAATCTATCAGTAAGGAACATATACATTGGCCCCAAGCCTTTTCTGGATCCCAAACCTAAGTGTGCTTTGCCCTGGGACTTTAAGAAGGCTCAGCCTGTCCACGTTTGTACTTTCGCCGTGTCAAACACTAGAAATCCTTACCACAGTCTTTCCACCGTTAAAACTCGACTGCTGACTGAGCAAGTCAGGTAGAACTATGAGACAGGAAGGGAGAAAGCCAGACTTCTTCAACAGGACAAAGAAAAAAAGAGGAAAAAAGGCAAATCCAGTTCGCCTTTTCCTCACAAGCCCCAAACATTACAATACGGATCTCAGAAACGGTTACGGTCAGCTAGCACTGAACAAAATTCGCACTCGGCCCACGTCACAATGGTTGTTCTTGTGCACCGCGGAGGATCCAGCCCGGTGTAGAGAGTTGTTGAGAAACATCAATTAGCTCAAATACCTACTGACTTGCCAAGAAACCCTTCTCATAAGCAGGATGACACGGGCGTGCTCAGGAAGGCGCTGAGAGAGGTCTTCCACCAGGCTCATCGCATTGAGAAATCCCTCCCCAAAGAAACGCTCACTCTTCTGCGTGTCAGACGCCATTTCAACAGAAGAAAAGGCAAAAGTGGGAACCACATTGAGCGATTTTGAAGTTGTCTGCTGCACCAAGATCACGTTCTCTTCTTAAAAGATGCTGTCACTCAGTTTGTCAACAATTGTCCTCAAGCTGAATCACCAGCCTCGAAGAAATGTGAAGACGGAGACAGGGGCGGGGGTAGGTGGGGCGTGGAGATTCAGAAGTTCCAAGCAGAGGCGATGGGGAGTCTCCCATGTCTAAAACTAACGTCAGGCAGAGGGCAACTCAGGCCCGAAGCGCTCACTGGTCAAGTGTCAAGAGAGCTTAAAAGCAGAAAGGAGACCGGTGGCTTCTTGAAACAGGGCTGAGGAGAGTGTGGCCAGGAGCTTGTACTGACGACATAATGAAGCCTTCCCAGACTGCAAGGGAGACAAGCGGGTTGCCCACAGGGGAGAAGTGCCAGTAGCTGCCCTTGTCCCAGGCAATAGTGCTGGCATGCGGGGTCTTCTCCAAAATGGTTTGTACAATCCAGAATGCTGGCAGAACCTTGTGCGGGGGCTGGGAAAGTAAGATGGCTCTGGACAGCTTGAAGGGAAACACTCTTAAATGTGTCCCAAAGTAGCACTGTCCCCCTGTTTTCTCTTACCAGGGATCTGTTTGTCCAGCCAACATCATTTTGTGAACAGGTCCTTCTTATTTTGAGATGACAAGCCCCTGCCCTGGTCCCCTGGTGCACCCAGCCTTTTGCGCAAGGCCCACACCAATCCTTTGCATTTCTGCCACATCCAAGAACTGGAAGAGGATGGTCTGGCAGGGCCACCTTCCACCCAGGTTGGCCATTCGATGCCCTGGTTGTGAGGGACATCACAGGGCACCGTGGGGCACCAGGACCCAGAGTGTTCCAAGTCGCTTCCGTTCCCCCCATTCGGGTTGGGCGAAGGAGCTCCTGTGCGTAATTCACAGAGTGCCTATACTCCGAGGTGTTGCACAATCCCATTACCATTAATTTTTGCATATTTAACCACAGTTTTTAATTAGATGGTATTTTATTATTCATGCACATAATTTGAGTCCAAGTCAGGCTGCTCTCTTGGAGGAAAGAAAAAAAAAGGTGGGGGGGGGGTATTCTTCTGAATTGAACGTCGGTGTTGGCGTTCCTTCTCAACTGGTGAGCGAGCATGGCAGACTGTGAGTCTGTAATGGTTCTCTTTTAATTTTGCTAATAGCTATCATGTTATGTACCTTTATAAATTTGTTAAATCCGGAGTGCTGGGAGCTGTCTCTGTATGCGGTAACTGTAAATAGTTTGCTCTGTTTGGTTTGCACATACAAACTGTTTGCTCAGTCTCCTTGATGTATTATTAAAATGGGTAATGGGCCCCTGGGAAACCATCTAGTTATATGCCTTCATTTGCAGAATAAACCATGCGTTGTTTTCATCTTTTCTCATGATTGTTAATGGCACTGATGATGAGATGGGTGGATTTTTTTCTCCCCTAGCCTTTATCAGCACTGTTTTATTATGCAGGCAAAATGGCCAGGCTGCTGATTTTGTCTAAGGTTTTCAATTAGTCATTTGACTGAACACATCTGTGCTGGCATCCGCCCAGAGCCGGACCGCAGCCATTACCCGTTTTCACCTGCTGAACCGTGGCCATCAACGCGGATGGGAATAAACCTAAATTGGCCTTTTAGATATGGTTGAAAAGTTGTAATGTTGCAATGTTTTATGGCAAAGTCAGGAAGGTGTGAACTTTTCCGCCTTAAAGCTGAAGAAGCTGCCACGATATTGCCCTCCGCTCAAAGGACTCACGTAGAGGTTGGTTATTAACATCTGTTTGCGCTCTGCAGCCCCGATGACTTAATCGGCTGATGTTAAGTAGATGAGGTTATATTTGTCCTGCAGCTGGGAATGGTCGAGTTTAATT